CTGTTCGCACACTGCGTTCTCGCTGTCACTGTCTCTCTATACTCTACTCCGTCTGTCGCCGCTAACCCACTCTTTCTCTGCTCTACTACCGTCACCGCCTGCTCTGCGATTCCCCGGGCACCGTCGCTGCAGCTCCATCCAAGACGCCGACCAAGACAAGAAGCCCCTCTCTCCATAGCGCTGTGGCTTATATCCCCACACCAATTAATCCCCATTAATTATCTCAACCCTCCGCTTATTACTCGCCCCCTGGCCCCCGGTCTCACGTGACCTTGTTATTGCCGCCAGAGCGACGCCAGCTAATAACCAATTACCCTCTTAGCCAATCGCTGGCCTGTGTCCCCCCAGCGACCCCGAACACCTGTCTCAACACTTAACGACCCTCTCACCTAATGCCACAACAACAACCGTGTCCTCGCATACCCCCCACTGTACTCTGCTCGCTGGCATAGCAACAGTGGAAGAGAATGCGTGGCGCGCCATGACTCTAGTCCTACAGATATAAAAGAGAGCGCTCAACTGCTATTTTCCTGAGCCGGTAGTGGAAACTTTTGATTCCTACGGCGGCCCCCGCCACCAAAGGATAACCACTGTCAGCATCCCCACAAAATAGTTCTCGTTTTATCGACCCGGAGGAGTGATGGACTAAGTCAACCCCCAAACCAGGATTTGAACTTTCAACCTTCCAATTGCGAGCTGCTCGATTTACCGCTGTGCCACCGAGCGTTTTTTGTTTGTTTATAAATACACATAAATATATCTTGTTTAATAGACATTCGTAGACATATGAATTAACTTCTAGACATCTCCACGAATCTTAAAACTACAGCATGTTTTTGAGTTTGAGTAGTGCTCTGCCTTTGTCATTTCTTTGCACATTTGGTCCGATCGTAACGTCACGAGTAGAGACGCGGACGGTCTCCTTTGCTTAAAAAAAACACCCGTTTAGAATTCAGCCAACTCACTTTGCACCGATGCCGTGCTCCCCCACACATCCATCCACCCTCCCGCCCGCCCGCGCACACAACAGCAGCAGCTGTTCAGTGACTTATCTTGGTGGAATCGCGGTGGAATTAGCAATTAGGGGGTGCTGGATGATGTTCAAACAGCACGTGAGTTTTTATATCTGTGCGCACACAGGGGACAATGAAGCATGCATTTTTATATTGATGGTGCACAGTGCCGAAAACTACTTCTTGTATTCGGTGTAACATTCACAGGTGGCTGTCTCCATGCTCTTCGCAGCGTGATGTGTAGGGGGCAAAGGTTGACAATCTAAACGTCAAGTTCCCGAATTGTACCAGGCCTGAGGCTTCATTTGCCTAGAATCGGTAGCCAGTGCAGCGAGTCAAACATTGGCTCCAGGGAGACTCGGGTAGCTTGGCGTCTTGTGCCGCTCCTTGCCACAGCCCCGTGTGTGTTGGCACGTCCTCGGCAGTGGATCGTTCAACACGGCTTTCCCTCAAGCGTATATGGTGAAAGTAAACTGGAGTGATTCGTAATTGACGATTGTGGATCGGATCTCATGAGTGCAATGCCAGAAATAAGTCTGCGCGTTAAATACAATGGAACGTCAGTCTTTGTACATGCGCATTGTGTGTGTAGGTGTTTGTCAGTACTGTGTATATACACATACATTCATATTCCATGCGACTGAAGTTTTGCGCAAGCAAGACGTTTCAGTAATGGTATTTACAATTACATTTGACGAGTGAATACTCTTCCAATGTTACGAGGCTTAAACATTGATTTGATATTGAATGTTATCTTAAATAAACAAGGTAAAAAAAAATCCGCAAAAATAGATGTGACCTGTTATCTGCTGTCATTAAAGGGATCTCCCACGCCGTAGGAATGTGGAATTTATACTAACAGCTCAGGGCCACCAACAGAGGGAAACATCATCCCGCAATCTCTTGATCTGGCCCTTCGCCAGCATTGATCCAAGTGTAATAATACTCTTGGAGACGGCTTGTGGAATCGGTCCTTTTATTTACTTATCTCAGTTCACAAGCACTCCCCGTTGCTGGCAGGCTACGGGGAGTGGGCAGACCGATCACAAGAGACGCACCGCCACGTGGCACTCTGACTGTTGTATATGTCGTATAGATACAACATGACCCCGTGTCCCTCGGCTCTCCCCTTATTTAATGCCTGGGTCACGTGATACGCTCCAGCCAATCCTTAATAGCCTGCGCTGAATGTTCCAGATTCCCCATCAACTCTCGGGACCACGCCCCTGACTTGTCTTCCCATTGGCTGAGGCCAAGACCAGCAGAACCAATCACCCTAGTTGACATCCCTCGATCCCGCCAGGGCCATGCTCCCAGGCTCTCCCCCCATTGGCTGTAGAGCAGGACCGGCAGAGCCGATCACCACGTGAGCCGAATCAATGCTGCCGGCAAGATGCACGCCCAGCGAGACTGTGTAGCGATGGGTTGTGTAAAAAAAAAATTACGTGGAGAGACAAATATGGTGAGCAGGCAATATTTGTTTGGGTCGGGGAGTTGCCTTGACTTGTGTGGCTACGGCTGAATGTGAATTTTGGAAGCCACCAGCGCTGGTGTTTTGGCACTGACACTGAAACGAACAAGAAAAATCGACGGAACCGCACGCGCGCACATTTCCCCGCGGCTTGGCGGACTTCTCCTCTCAACTCAGTCGCCGCTCGCAGGTCGCTCTCCCTGTGTGGCATCTTCGCGCGGTTGAGGTAGTTGAAGCAGGAGTGAGGGCCGAGCTGGGGTTTGCTGCCGGGCTGGTCGGGGAGGTGGAGGCTGCCCCCCCCCACCCACCCAAGCTCCCGCGTTCACAATGAGCCTGTGTGTGGGGCGAGACGGAGCTCAAAAGCCCCATTCAGTGGCTCTCTCCCACCTTCCCCGGTGCGCTGATCGATTCCAGCAATTATCTGTAATTAGCTTTCCCCAACAGACGCGGCTGAAAATAGGGCGGGGGGGCGGTGGCTCGCTCCGGCGTTGGCTGGCAGCGGCTTTTGCAAACCGCTTGGGCAGCCCTCCTGGTCACCGCTGTGTGAAAACAGAACAATATTTTTGTTGGAAATGGTCGGTAGTTTCGTGGACTGTTGTTGTTATTTTTTTAAAGGAAAGTACGGATGCTGACCGTATTTGTTCTCCATCTTTTCAACTTGTCAGCGTGTTTTTTGTTGTTGTCGTCGTCATTGCCGTGTCACTAACTTTCTAGCTGACGTTGAATGAAGATTTTTGGCCGACATTTAATGCAGCGGTGGGATTTGTTTTGACCTATAAAATAACTGCGTGACTTTACGCGTGTGTCATTTGTGAACACATGCAAAATGTTGGTGTCTCTCTCCGAGCTCTTACCCAGCAATGGAAATCCCAATTCCCATGGCGATGAGCGCACGGCCACCGTGGATTTATCACAAAGTTGTGGTCGCTTTATCGGCCCTGGAAAAACGATGGGCTGCGACGAGGCCCCAACCTGCATGAGAACTCCTCACTCACCCGGCTGCTGTGCAACGAGTGCTCGAGCCGAAGCGGCACCTGGGCCGGACGTGTATTTAGGATGTGCATTTTGAAACTGCGAACGAAACTATTTTTTTTCTACCAGGTAAAGCTGGCCGAGTTGGATAGCTCTTTTCGGAAGCGACCTGGCGGCATGTAATGATAGCACAACGAATTGGCTTGTCACATGGACATTTTTTGCGGCCAAATACTCAAAACGCATGTTGATTCGAAATGCGGAGGGAAATACCGGAGCACCAGGAAAAAAATCCCCGCGACCATGGCGAGAGAGAGAGAGAGAGACACGCAAACTCCAAATATACAGCAGCAGGCGTCAGTCGGGATCGAACCCACGACCCCCTGCATACCGGGTGAGGTAGTCGACATCTCGCCACCGCGGCACGACGCGAGTCTGCCGAGTGGCGGCGATAGCCGCTCGCTACGCTGCGGGCGCTTCGCTTCGTCGTCGCAACGCCGGTCCAAGAGCGGTCGTCGCCATCGGCTCCCATTCACGGGGGGGGTGGGCGGAGGGGCACGGCTCCGCCGCGCATTGTGGCCGCCCTGCGTGATCGTAGCCCCGTTGTGTTATTGTCACTGTGTCAGTCAGCGTGTTTCACAAAGCTTTATTGTATGAACTGCGGGAGTTTATCATTGGATAAGAGGGGGGTCAGGGTTTGACACTTGCCAATGTGTGAAGGCCGTGGGCAGGGGAAACACCCCCTCCCCACTTCTTTACCCCCCCGCCCCTTGGCCGCCGTGATAAGTGATCTGCATTCCGAGTCCCCCTTTACAAAGAGGATGCTAATAAAAGCTGTTGGGGTCACAGCAAGTCTCGCTCAGCTGCAAATAAAAGTTTATCAGATCTGCTGACTGCTAATTTTTCCACACTCTTGGCCTTTATTTTACGCGCCGCGAACGATTTGGCATTTATATTAAAATAAAAACAACATGACCCTGCCGTGGAAATGCGAGGATCGTGAAGCAATGTCCCGACGGTGCCGATTCTCCCAGAGCGGAAGTATCTCTCCTCTGGCCTGGCTCGTGTCGCGCTCTCTCTCTGTGTCTCTCTACTGGAGAGTGCGTTGGGACGTCGCGTCGAACATCACCCGCAGCTCGCAAGTCGAGCTGTTAATGTTGCCCGGGTCTATAAAAACGGCACACGTCTTTTTTACTGGGCCCGCCAGCCGCCCCCTGATTGATTCGTAAACGCTTTAACCCTTAACGCATCTCTGAGATCCGTGTCACAGCTTTAAACGGCCAGACAGAGAACACATGAGCAGTGATTGGCTTACCTACGTTAGAGGATTGCTTGAAAACAACCAACCTACTCTTTCTCCTTGTCCTCCTCTTCTCTGCGCCACTTTTACTCGTAACGCCATCTCTTCCATTTCTTGATTTTCCTCCTCATACATTCCTCCTCTTAATTCTCATGTTCATCATCATCCTCATCTTCCTCAACCTTCTGATCCTCATCCTCCACATCCTCATGCTCCTACTCCTCATCCTCCCCCCCTGTCCCCGCAGTCCCCGAGGCCCCGTGGGCGGTGAGCGTGCGCTCCGGCGCCAGCGGTGCGGTCTTCGTGTCGTGGATGCCGCGCGGCACGGGCGGCTCCCCCGTCAGCGCGTTCCGCGTCGAGTGCCGGCGCGTGGGCCGTGGCGCCGGCAAGTGGAAGGAGGCCGCGTCCGGCATCCCGCCCGCCAAGCTCGCAGTGCAGATCGACGGCCTCGCTGCCGGTGAGGCAGTCGACCGTCGTCATCGGACGCGGATCGTGGGGCGCGGTGGGGCCGGCTATGTTAAAACATAAATATATGTATTTTATTAAAATATTGTATGTGTTCATGTTGAGCTACTTTCGCACCGTGTGCAGACAACTGTGCTAATCGGAGGTGCGGGGGAAGGACGGCAAACTAAACACAAAAAGCAGTTCTAAAAAAAAACGTTTTCAATCTAGATCTAGAAGTGCATAGCTCCAGTGGCATCCTAATATCGGAATGAAGAGCATTCCAGAGGACCGCTGAAGTGCACCTAAAATGCGATGACCGTCTTTGTTCGATGGCTTGCCAAAAGCCATTGCAAGGATGACCGGAGTTCGCTCTGATTTATGAATATTGATCAAATACCAATTGTTTGGCTGTCAAGGGGGTGGCAATTGCCTCCACCTCCCACCGTCCTTCCGTCCTGATCTGGCACCAATTGTCAGACAGCTGATTGTTTACGAGCTATTCGTGCATGTGGGGATGATGGCGCTGCCACGTTGTAATGGTTGGCACACTGGCCTGCAATCCAGAGGTGACCGGTTCATCCTCGCATTTCTTAATGCCCCCCACCCTCCCCCCACCCTCACCTCTGCCCGCCCCGCAGTATAAATGGCTACACCACAGTCGGTCGATCGGCGGGTCGCGTGTGGCGGAATAAAGTAGTGTGGCTTATGCCCATCTCCTTTCAACACGAGTCTAGTCGACGTGGCGGAGTAGGCCCCAAAAACTCTCCGTTGTAGTTCGCTCTGGCGAAGGCCCTTCCACCAGCGTTGGCGCGATTCGGCACATTTCAGGGTCCGCAATCTTTGCAAAACATTTTTTTCCCACTTTACCTCCTATAGACAACGAGCAAAACAAACAAAAAAACCTCGACATAAATTGTCGCGCAGCTTGTGACCGTCGCCGATTCGTGCTCGCTTCCTTGACGCTCCCAGGCTGGGCGTACTGCTTCCGCGTGGCGGCGCTGAACGCGCACGGCGAGAGCCCCTGGAGCGTCCCCTCCACGCCGTTCTATCTCTCGGGCTCCCCCGGGGGGGCGTCCGCCTCCCAGCGAATGCTCGCCGCCCCCCACATCTCCGCCACGAAGGCCGTGAGCGACACGTCCATTCGCATCACCTGGACCGTACGTAACTATTTCAACGATCGATGACGACGATGATGCCGGAGAGCGCGGTAGTACTTGGTCGTAACAACCGTCTCGTGTCAGTGGTTTGCGGCAGGTTCACATCCCTGTCTGGGAAAGACGGTGAAATGAGTGCCTCATTCGTGGGATGCCAGTTGTCATGTGCAATGACTGGCACCCACCATAGGAATGTTTAAATCCAACCAAGATGTGCTGGTTCACCAGAAATGCCCCAAGCTCATCAGAGCAGCGTGGAGTCAAGTCAAAGGTGTGCGGCTGCGCAGTCACTTGCTCTCGCCTCCGCTGTGTTTGGTCTCCTCTTTCACGCCGACCCGATGTCTCGGAAGAGTGTTGGAGTACGCACACTTTACCCCCACCACTTGGTACTTGCTGATCGTCTAACTGTGGGGTTCCCTGTTTAAACTGCTGGGAGGACAGAAGCAGGTTGGGGGAATTTTAGAAACTTGCTCGATTTGTTTCTCACTGTCGTGCCGGGAGACGGAGCAATAATTCTCAAGTAGAATGTTGTGTGTGTGTATGTTGAACTTCTTTCGCACCGTACGTAGCCAACCGTGATAATCGGAGGTGCGATTCATGATGATGAGAGTGGTGCGAGGATGATTGAAAAAGTGGTAGTAATGGTGGTGATTATGGCGCTGACACGTCACAATGCCGACGACGACGAGGATGATCACGCTGATGGTCGTGACCCCCCCCCCACCCCGCGCGCTCGTCGTGCGCAGTTTCCGTCTGCCGCAGCTCCGGCGCAGCCCGTGCAGAAGGTGACCGTCTACTACCGCCCCACCGACTGCGACAACGAAGAAGACTACCACAAGAAGATCCTGCACGGTGAGCGCCTCGGCGGCACCCGGCACGAGCCACCGCCGTCACATCGGCTTAGAGCTCTGCGGGATGTTTAGAGTTTGAGGGACGTCACGTGTGAGCGGCCCTCGCGCTGTGCAAGTTGTACGCAGGTGAACGCCGTTCCAGCTACAGACGCAGCCTTCCTCGGTTTAGTGGCCTCAGGTCCGACGCAAATTCGCAGTAAAAAAACAGCGCACAAATGCGCGCCGCTCGTAAGCAGTCAGAAGGTGCGGCTTCCCCGTCGTGCCGTGCACGCGTGTCATGTGACCGCCGCTGTCAGCCTTGTCGAGGCTGCCAGCTCAGGAGAGCTTAACGTGGTGGGGCCGTACAGTTGTTTAGATCGCCAACTCGAATGTGAAATGTGGCCGTCCCCTTTTGTTGGCATGGGTTTTCTCATAATTTATAGAAAGCGTTGTAAAGAGAGCACATGCATTAGTATAACGGTCTGAGTTGTATGACGTGTGCATTGTGGGTACTTACCACAGTCATTTGAAAAATGAATGTAATGTCTTTCAGATTTCTGTTTGTGTATGTTGTCCGAGCTTGCACTGTGGGGAGCGGTGGTGCAGCGGTTAGCGCGCTGCACGATGAACCCAGCAATACGGGTTCAATTTCTGCTCACGGCCAACACCAGTGACAACTATCTGAACCGGTCCTGGGCCTCCCCTAGGTCAACTCAGCCTCAAATGAGTACCTGGTGCGGTGTGTAAACATCGCCACTAGGGAGAAAAAGGCGGTTGGGAGTGGTGCTGGCCACCCACCCGCTCATGTGCCGTGCCGGCCTTCATAGGTGCTACTCGCTAGCAGCACTTGCCCCTACAATCTGTTAAGGCCATTTTGGGGATCTTTGTCTTTATGTCTTTGTCTAGCTTGCACTAGAATTCAGATTAATTTGTTTAACCAGGTTAGAGCTCAAGAGACCAAGCATAGACCCATTTGCAATATAAAGTACAGCAACGAAGCACGTGCAAATCAGAGCAAACGAAACACGTCTACGGAAGACGTAGAGAATACTGCACGAACATAATTTGCTGTTCAAGAGAACAAGTCCCCTGTAACTTTCATTCCGAAACAAAGACTAAACCAAACTTAACATTTTATCAGGTAAGGCCCATTGAGCTACATAGCTCAATGAAGTGGCCAGCGACCTGACCTCAAATGATGGCTCAACGAAGTGGTTTATCATGTGGGCATTTACAGCAGCCAAATACTCTAAATGCATGTTTCCAAATGTCGAGGGGAAAAACCCGAGGACCTGGAGAATGATCCACGCAACCATGGGGAGAACATGCAAACTACAAATATGTCGGCGTCAGGGTCGGGATCGAACTCACGACCTCCTCTACACCAGGTGAGGTAGCTAACATCTCGCCATCGAGATGCTCATAGTACAATCACGTTACAGGAGCGTGAAGATATGTCACGCCGTAGCTGATTGCATCCTGCAGCTGATAAACACGTGGCGTGCCGCGTGAGTCACGCGGTCACGCGTTGGTCGAATTGATCCACGATGCGGCTCGGCCGTAACAGCTGCCGTTCGCCGTGTCACCCCAGGGAGCAGAGACTGGCACGTGCTGAGCGGACTTCAGCCGGAGACGTCGTACGACATCAAGATCCAGTGGTTTAGCACGGCGGGAGAGAGCGCGTTCAGCAACGTCATGATCTGCGAGACGAGAGGTGGGCGAGTGCGGTGTCCGTCGTGTTGTCTTCTCATCGGGGATGGACCTCATTTTAGTCGAAGTCAACATAGTGGAGGCAAAAGTCAGTTTCTGACCAGCAATAGAATCAGACCCGAGTCACTGAGATTGTAATGTACGGTATTGCATTTACTATCGGGCATTCAATGATCCCCTTCCTGGAAATTCTATGAAATGTTCACAATTTGGGGGTCACGGTTTCTGTAAAACAGTGTTGTTATTTCGGTAAATGTATCACTTCTAGTGGTTGCAGAGTTTACGATGAGCCAATTAAATACAACATATACGAATTTAAAAGAATCAAATCTCTCACACGCAATTTGATCATTGTATCATGATTGTGAGAATCAATTTAAATCGAATCCATGCATCGTTACACGCCTGTGAAACATCACACAAACCTTGGTCTCCAGGACAGCGGCAACATGCGCTTATCACCTCTCCACACACAGGCAAACACCAGACACAAAAAGCATGCCCATTCACACACCAATCACCAACAAACTAATCTCATCGTCCGTCCTAAATCACAACCATAAACGCATTTTCTTTTCTTTCGTAAAACGCAAATGCACCGATCTGTTCTTTTTATTGTTGAAAAAAACAAACCCCTTTGCTTTTATTCTTCCCCCCCTCCTGCCTCATCAGCAACAGCTCTGGCCTCGTCTCATTAGGCTTCACAGGCCAGCGTTTGTTTAGCAAAGAACCGTCCCCTGGCCAAAAAGAAAAACGCAAACCACATGGTGGCTGCTTCCTAACGTGGCCGCAATGCTCGTGCACCGGGGGGGGGGGGGGTGATCGAATGTCTCGTGGCAGCGCTAACGCCGCCGCCGCCGGCTCTGGCTACAAGAGACACACACGCACAGAGTCATCGGTAATGGCGCAAAGGTACAATGCACGGGGCCATAAGCGACTGGAGTTGAGTCCGGCTCTCTCGCTGCACTGCGGAAGGGTGAGGCAGTGTTCATTTCTCTTCGAGGCCATTATTGCCATCCAGCAGTGGATATTCTACGATAATATGCTACGGGCCCGGTTTCTATACATGGCAGCTACTAGTGGAGTCTCTCAAATTGGTATGGAGTGTATCGACCCTCGATGGATGATGGACGGAGTTAAGGACCCAGCCCCGCTCCCCTGAGGCAAGCACTCTGCCGCAGTGGCATCTGGCTGGATAACAGATAACTTTGACAGCAAACACTCTCATGGTGCTGATGCTGGTCAAGATCAAGATCAAAATATGCCATCGTGGCCAAAGCAACAATGGTACCAGGCCTAACCAGAGCTTTCTACCCTCCGCCAGATGGTCGTAACCATCGTGACGACAGATGAAGATGATGATCAATAATGTCATTTCTGTATTATATTATCACCATCACTACCATGAACATAATAATCGCCACCACCTTTGGCGCCATCACTTAGATCCAGAATTTAGACCATATTCAGCCAACACAATGGGCAGATATCTTGTTGTGATGCTGGATCATGAGAGAGATAGTCCCGCCAAGATTTCACCCGCAGCGGAGATGTCTAAAAGGAATATTTCTTGGCAAGCACACAATGTGCCTGCTGGCAATGTGTACGAGTCCAAAAAATGATCAATGCAACGCATTGTTTTAATTAATATAGAGCTTTATGAAGGCTGCCACATTTTTGGGGCATTACGAACAGGGCATCAGTGTTCCATGGAGGCATATTTTTAAAGCAACAAAAAAAAACGCTTGAAGAGGAAGCTGCGAGCTTTTCCTGCACCGCTGTTTCACCGTGCATGAGCCACGCTAAGCTACACCGGTGCCATGGCAGGTAACCGCCACGCTCTCCCTACGTTTGTTTTAAAAGCTGAGCATATTCGCACACGTAATAACAACAAAAACACGCATTCGTCAACAACACCATAGCCTGAAAAAGAAAAAGGGCTATGATGGGCGATGTTTGGGGCATTTTCCCTCCTTCACAGCACACACAGCGGACCAGAGAGGTGGAGTGCATAAGAGTTGGAGACATCACTTCATACGACATGCTTTGGGTTGTATATATCGCCTATACACTTGACTTTAAATGTTGACGGCTACAGTGTTATTGACAAATGTGTTGCGTTGTTTGCTATTTGTGCTTTGGGCGCCACTGCCGATGCACTATGAACAAACAATCTGTTCTATTTGTGCACGTGCAGTTTGATGGCTCAAGCCAATACACTGTCAGGGCCAAAAGTGTTTGAATTTTTTGCTAGACGTTATATACATGCTCTCTCCCGGGCTACACGGCATTATTTAAGTACATTAATGAACGAGCCAAAACTTGTTTTTATTTTTAACCTTGGTCATCACGAGTGAGCTCACTCAAGCAGCATTTGCATTACACGTGGCCTCCGTGTTTAAAGGACAGGCATATTGTGACTGGCAACTGACAGACACCAGGGAATTACCCCGTAGAGCCCTGAGACAAAGACATTCTCTATTTCTTCTACCAACGTCTGTACATAAATCAACCATTGGATGCACTTAGGCACAACTCGATAATCTTCTCAGTCAGGTCGGTATGTTTTCCCAGATAAATTAACGTAGAAATGATTAAAATGCAAAGTTTTTATACATGACACTTACATGTATTGTTCACGATCATGTAAAATATTTCCCATTATTTAAATGTATCATTGCTAATGCGGTATATCCGTCAAGTTGAGAGTCTTTTTTGTATCTCACTTTCCTTTTCGTTTAATTCCCCCAACGCTTTTCTACATCTGCATTGGCAGTGGTGCACGACAACAAATAATGCAAACTACAACACATTCCTCCGTCACACTGCGCAAAGGACACAGCATAACGTACAATAAGTGATATTTCTAACAATTGCGATTAACCTTCCTCATAGCAAATATAAAAACATTTTTACCAATAGATCTGACTGTTTTTTATACAAATAAACCATAATTTTCTTTCGAAAAAAACCATCCATTGCTGCATAAGCACACGAGTGCCATTTATCCCACGATGGGCCACAGCACTGGCTGCAATGGGAATTCGTGAGGGTTAGGTGACGATTGCCAATTCCCCAAATCACAAGTGCAAAGTGAAATGTTGCAGCACTCAAATTAGCACTCCTATTAAGTCATTTTCACAAGACAAAAAGCACCAGCGTGCTACTAAACACACTCGCATACACGGAGAAAATGACCTCACGATGCCGTTGTTTTTGGGAATTGTCGATATCGAGCTGTGATTGCAACAGTTAGCGGTGGGTTGCGAATCCACTGAACGTTGTAATTGTGGTCAAGAAGCGTTTTACAGCTGGTACGATCACTGGTATGCCTCTGGACATTACAGTTCCTGACACTGGTAAGCAGATGGAAATGTAATTCTCGACAGAGGCATTAAGCTCACAGCTTTCACCAGATTACCCCGGCTCTTTTACACCTCCTCAATCCCATTTCTAACGTCTGTT